GTGACGGGCTCATGGTGACAGTCACGTCACGTACAGAACAGGACACTGGCAGTGACGGGCTCATGGTGACAATCATGTCACGTACAGAGCAGAACAGGACGCTGGCAGTGACGGGCTCATGGTGACAGTCACGTCACGTACAGAGCAGGACGCTGGCAGTGACGGGCTCATGGTGACAGTCACGTCACGTCATGTACAGAACAGGACGCTGGCAGTGACGGACTCATGGTGACAGTCACGTCACGTACAGAGCAGGACGCTGGCAGTGACGGGCTCATGGTGACAGTCACGTCACGTACAGAGCAGGACGCTGGCAGTGACGGACTCATGGTGACAGTCACGTCACGTACAGAGCAGGACGCTGGCAGTGACGGACTCATGGTGACAATCACGTCACGTACAGAGCAGGACGCTGGCAGTGACGGACTCATGGTGACAGTCACGTCACGTACAGAACAGGATGCTGGCATTGACGGACTCATGGTGACAGTCACGTCACATACAGAGCAGAACAGGACGCTGGCAGTGACGGGCTCATGGTGACAGTCACGTCACGTACAGAGCAGGACGCTGGCAGTGACGGGCTCATGGTGACAGTCACGTCACGTACAGAGCAGGACGCTGGCAGTGACGGGCTCATGGTGACAGCCACGTCACGTACAGAGCAGGACGCTGGCAGTGACGGGCTCATGGTGACAGTCACGTCACGGTACAGAATGGGACGCTGGCAGACCTCTTTGGGACTGACACTCTGCTGGTTCCTCCATAACCAGTGCCACCTTAGAACCTTTTGTGCAGAGAAGTTTCAAGACACAGCTTAGCCCCTCTTTGCAGCCAGCTCTCAACATAGGTCTTCTCTAGAAAAGGTTTTGGAGCAGATGTGGCAGGGCCGGGCCCAGGATGTGTTTAGCTCTTGGGTGTGGCATGTCAGTGGCAGGGGCCATAGCCCTTTGGCATGTGTCTCCTTCATCTCCTTCCCCCTTACTCACCCTCTAATATCCTCGAAACTGCAGATAGTAACAAGCCCTATGCACACTCTCTCTGTACATACACACCAATGGTAAAACTCAGTGCAAATCAGACAAAATAAGAGACAGAGAACAACTGTTAGACATAACAAAGTTGCAGCATCACGACTCTTGTACTTTGGGCTGCTACTAAGGTACAGTAAAGGTCACTTGATGGTAAGCACTAACACCGTGACAGTCAGTCTGACATGGGACGGTGACCAAGTCACTCAATGTGGTGGGTAGTATGTACAGTACGGTGAAGGTGTGTGTGGGGGTGTGTACCGTGAGAGCGCATGGGCCATGCTCAGTGAGGGTTTACATGGGCATGTGTGGCAAGGGCATGCATGAGGCCAGACCCTCGTCTGCAGAGCTTCCTTCCCAGCACGTCATGGAAGTCCTTATTTTGTTGCAGTTCTAGGCTCTTTTCCTCTCGCTTGGCTTCTTTTTTATTTATTTATTTATTTATTTATTTATTTTGGGGGGGGGGGTCCAGTCATGGGACCTGAACTCTGGGCCTGGGTGCTGTCCCTCAGCTCTTCAGCTCAAGGTTAGCGCTCTACCACTTGAGCCACAGCGCCACTTCCGGCTTTTTTCTTTTTGCTTAAGTGGTGCTGAGGAATCGAACCCAGGGCCTCTGGCATGCAAGGCAAGCACTCTACCACTGAGCCACCTTCCGAGCCCTCGCTTGGCTTCTTAGCTCAAGGTTGGCATTCGGCCACATGAGCTATACCACTTCCAGCTTTTTGCTGGTTAATTGGAAATAGGGGTCTCCTGGGCCTTTCTGCCTGGGCTGGTTTTGAAGCTCAGTCCACAGATCCCAGGCTCCTGAATAGCTAGGATTATAGGCGTAAGCCACTGGCACCCAGTTTTCATGGGTATCTACGTGGAGCACAGAGCCCTTTTTGCAACTGAAGAGTTACTGGGAAAGACAAAGGTTTACACCTTCTGTGCTGAACTTACTTTCTCACTGCTGTGGGCTATCTCCGTGGCACTCACACCATTACTATATTTGTTTGGCACCCCTTTCTAGTCTTGATTTTTTTTCCATGCTCCCAGGATGGGATTTGAGTTTTTTGTACCTCCCAAAGTGCAGCTACAGAGAGGATCCCCAGAAGAAGAACCATGTTGGTGGGTCCTGGTGTGACCCACCAAGGCCTGCATTGGGCACATGTCTGGACTGTTAGGATCAGCTTCCTGCTTAGCCATATCTGCCGGGCAGGCAGTGCTTCTCCATCGTGAAGTTTCTTACTTACCTTCTGTAGACACTGTGGGGAGGCCCACATGAAGGAGTGGCATCTGGCATGAAGCATTTGTCTATAGTCATTCATTGCTGCTCACCAGGCTTCACTGCACTATCAGCTTGCACTGAGGATACAACCTTTGAATGCCTTTCACCTTCTTGTTTCCCAGTGAGCATCAAGACAGACCCAGGACCTGCCTGCTAAGTGGGGTCTTGGATCCTCACAACTCTGGCAGAGCTGTAGGGATATCCGGGGTTGAGCTATCATGAGGGAGATTCCTATACCTGTAGGACACAGTGTAAGTTGGGGGAATCATCTGAACCCTGAGCTGGGGGGCAGGCTGTGGGAAGATTAAGACAAGCTGGGCACTGCTTCGAGCTGGGGGCACAGGATGCCCACTGGGCAAAGGGTGCACAGTCCTGTAAATGGAAGTGTCCGTATAGGCCGTGGAGTGGCGTGGGGCTTGTCAGAGCTCTGAGATGCTTCCCAAGCTCTCTTCACCAGTTGAACACAAGGTGTGGCATGTCTCAGCTGTGCACTGTGAGAAGGGAGGAAGCGAAGCTACTGCGCCTCACAGAAACACGATGTGTTCAGATGGTGTGTTCTTAGTTCAAGCAGTGGCGCATGGGTGTCTGCAGAGGGTCAGAAACCGGGACTGAAAGGGCTGTTGGAGGTGCTCCACTGCTTTTGTGTTGGTAGAGTTAGTCTGCATAAGGATCTGTGGCTGAATTCATCCTGGTTTGTTGAGTGTCATCAATGATTCAGTTCATGACGGGTTTTCAGTAGACATACTCAAGGAGTTGAGAGCTCTTACTCATCTTGGGACTCAGAATCAGCTGTCCCTCAGAAGCACTCTGGGTGGTTAGGGTTCCACCCCTAATGCTCTCTGGTGGGTGCCCAGGGCAGGCGTGGCTCCCCGGCAGGTCCTGGGCCCCTCGTGCTGTCTGGTCGGTGCCCAGGGCAGGCGTGGCTCCCCTGTCAGTTGTGGGCATTCATCAGGCCACATTGCCTGAAGTCTGTTCTGCTCCTCCTGTCAGCTAAAGCTAACAGAATGTAAATTTAATGAACCCTGTGAAACCCATCTAGCTAAGCAGATTTGATGTCACACAAGATATGCAAACCCCTTGGTGGGAGGAGCATTTGCTAAATGAAGGAGGGCATGGGAATAGAGGGGAACAAAGTCTCCCAGACCTTGTGGGAGTCTGTATGAGATGTGGGTAAATTCCCAGTAAGGATTTCCTTACGGTCAAGGGCTGGATATGAGTAGATAGAGAAGCAAAAGTGGGAGTAGACCTCTGGTCCTGAGCAGCTGTGCTGGTGCAGTATGACTGGCTGAGATGCTGGTCCCCGTCACATGCCCCAGACCAGAGAACACCGGGGACTTCAGAAAGAGCTTCCCTAAAAGTGTGGTGTCTGCACCAGCCTTTCACAGACTTCTCCTAACCTGTGTCACCAGCTAGGTCCATGTAGAGACCTGAAATGTTAGACTGGCACTGGACTCAGGGCCCACGCAGCACCTAGTGTGGCTAGTGGGCCGTAAGGCCTGTGCTTTCTGGCACTGGAGTGTCTTTGGGTGTAGTGTCTGTGATCTTGACCCCAGCAGGCTTGAGAAGCTGACCTCTCAGAGGACATACCTCTGTCCAGATGTGTGGACAGGGCTCTTGCCTGAGGAGGGAAGGGTGGGCACTGTGGTCCTCGCTCGCGCTCTCTTTCTACACCTCTCTCCGCACACTGGGCTTCACACTGGATCCTGTGTCATTGCTGTCTTGATATTGAATGTTCAGAACTGGTTTCTTCTATATTTCTTTTGTTCCGTTGCAACATACTCTTAACATAGCTGTCCATGATAGTTCCCCACTCCAAACCAGCCCAGCAGGGCTGATGGGTGGCTGTCACAGAGCTACTTCGTTGATCTTTTCTTCCTGTTATGGTATTTAACAGATCCCATGTGCCATTAATTGTAGAATATTGTGAGGTCTTAAGTGAAATACCAATTAAATCATTTGGTCAGCATCCACATTCTTCTCAACATTTGGTTTCTGTGGAGGCCAGGGGCAAGTTTAGTCTCTGCAGTGCTGAGTCTAAAGGAAGTGAGCAGTCCCTGGGGCTGAGAATGCCCTTCTGGATGGTAGAAGCCATCTCCCTGACATGGCCTCCTTCTCTAGGGTTGGGATCCCACGTGTCAGAGATCGACTTCTACTTGTGTCAGAAGCTTCATCAGATCAGAAGCCTTGTTGTTTGCAACTTGTCAGCATGATGAGTGGCGAGTGTCTCACAGGACGGACGTGGCTCCTCGGGGCAGGCACGGGTGGTTAGGATGGTGGTGTGTGCAGGTGTGAAGAGGTTTGCGGTGGGCGTGAATAGTGCCGTGCAGTGCTGTGCCCTGCCAGGACATCCTGGTCAGTCCTCTCAGCACTGCGTGTGACCACGGGTCTGGTGGGGTGGTGTGGCCAGGTCCACGGCACCGTCTTCACCATCCAAGGTCAGCACCCAGGAATAGTGGTGATCGTAACTGTGACACTGGCTCCTGAACATGCTGTGCTGTGCTTGGCCCCAGGGCAGCCCTCCGCCACGCCACGCAGCGTGCAGCCTGGACGGTCACATATGCCACCATCCAGGTGCCTGCCTGTGCTCTAGGGTGTCCTCAGTCACAGACACCTGAAATTACGATCCTCATCGTTCACGGGAGCCGGAAGCGCATCTGTAGATTCACTATGCCAGTTTGACACTTCTTTTAACCTTTCATCAGGTTCAGGGCGCAGGTTTCCGAGGCTGGAAGGAAGGAACTTCTCTGTTTAGTAAAGAGGACAAAGAACATCTGCTCGAGAGATGCAAATCTCCCAAGTCCAAAGTGTAAGTCATCAGCAGTCTGTCTCCAGAGGGGAGGAAGTCACCGGGAGGTGGCAGAGGTAGCTGTGGTGGAGGTGTTGAAAGGGTGTGGCCCGAGCAGCCCTGCTGCTCCAGACCCCACTGGCCGGGAGAGGTGCCCACCCCAGTCTCCTTCCCCTGTGGGTGCCTAGAAACGAGTATGTACTCCAGATGATCTGGAGACAAGAGACAATGAAACACACTTTTGGTGAAAGGCCATGCAAGTGACATGCATTTTGAAATGCTACCGAAAAGTAAAAAAGAATTTGCGATTGTAAATTGAACTTACTGGCCTTAAAGCAGTCTATCATGCTCAAAAACTTTAAGAGACGTGTAGCACAGAATCCCTGCCAACATGCTGCTTAAGGCTGGGCACACCAAGCACAGCATCGCTTGCCTACGTCATCCCAAAGATCAAGGAAAAAAACAACAAAATTGCTAAGGATTGATTGGAGAATGGTAAAAGATTTTAAAATCAAATAGCTCTAACCTGGCATATTACTGCCATCTTATTGTAAGTATTTTAAAAAGTCACCACACACACTTAGCGCTGCTTTGTGATGGCAGGTTATTGTCTTCTGGTAGAGGACATGGCCATGGCCACTCTGTTACTCTCAGGCAGGTCCAGGGTCCCTTTGTGTTGTACTGTGGGGACCTGTGGCTTCACTTTGCCCTTGGTCTGGGAGGACAGTGTAAGTGGTCCTGCAGCCACTGGGTGGCCCGCAGAACCCATCCAGAGCCCAATGTCCCAAACAGGCCCCCAGTGACACTTGTGGGAAGTTAGTGTAGGCCACTGGCCCGTGCATGCTTTTTGTTCATTTCCTTCCTGAGTCTTACCTTTGTAGAGCAAATTATCTACTAAATGCTTGAGAGAAGCCTAACACAGAAGCAACCCTATAGAAAACCCACTTGGTGAATGTCCTCCCACTTGTTTTCCAGTCTAGACCCAGGTTTTTAAAAATTTTGTTTTATTCTGCAGATGATGTACAGAGGGGTTACAGTTGCATAAGTAAGGTAACGAGTACAGTTCTTGTTGAACATTGTTACTTCTTCCCTCATTTTTCTCCCACTTTCTCTCCCTCCTTTCTTAACTCTGTAATAATTTGTATTCACAGATGTATCTAAGCAAACGGATTAAATTTGCAGTCTCCTGAACGTCACAAACGTGGCCAATTTCCTCACATTACTGGGTGCTGAGATTCATGACACCATGACAGAAGTGCATAGAAAAGCAAAGCCATGCCCTGCCCCTCCTGTGGCCTCAGGCAGTCAGCTCCTGAGAGCTGGCCTTTGCTCCTGGTGAATGGAGTTGTGAAGCAGCTAATTGTTCCTTATTTCCATAATAATTGTAATGTTTACACATAGGCTTGTTTTCATGTTAAGCAATTAAATTTTTAGGAAAGAGCCTTATAAAATCAGATCACAGTGTGACCAGCAGTAAACTCTTTCACTTCCTACAGAACTAACTTACGACTTAAAGAAGAGTTGAAGGCAGAGAAGAAATCTGGATTTTGGGACAGTTTGGTTTTAAAACAGAACAACCAGTCTCGAAAACCAGATGAGATAGAAGGCTGGGAACCCCCCCAACTCAGTTCTGAAGATGTGGTGGCCCATGTGGACGCGGCTCACCCTGACTTGGGGAGTAGCCACTCACCCTGGCCTGGCTGGGACGGTGACAGCAAGGGCTCTACCAAGTACACCAGCCTGTCCAGTTCAGCCAGCAGCTCCCGCTGGAGTCTCCGGTCGGCGGGGAAGTTGGTCAGCATTCGGCGACACAGCAGGGGCCAGCTGACGGACGCGGTGGAGGAGGTGGAGTGAGCAGAGGAGCCCTGTTATGCTTGTCTAGCCTTTAGTTTAGGGTTTGCTGGGCCTAACGACCCTCTGCTAGCACACCATTAAGTCACCCAACCCTCCCTCATTCTAGAAGTCCGTAGAGTGCCTGAGAGTCACGCTGGAAACCACATGCGTGGTGGCTCCTGGTGGCGTTTGTTTGCCTTACCTTGGACATGTCCATATCTGCTGAACCTGGACATGAGCATCTTTCATGCTGTCCAGTGATAGCGAAATGACCTGATGTCTCCACAGAGTGAAGCTGGCTTCGGTCACTGTCTTTCATGACCTGTCGCCTTCCCCCTGAATGTGACAGATGCTGCTCGACTTGAAAATGTGGCAGCGGGGGCTCCTTCTCCTGCTGTCAGAGCACCAGGTGCATCTTCCTAAGCCACATGACTCTGTGTAACCCAGAAGTTAAGCTTTTCCTATTAAAGAGCATGTGAACAGATTACACGCTGGGCAGCCCAGGCTGCGTGCAGTAGGATGGCAGGCCTGGTACTGCCTCCCGAGCGCCCCGTAGAAGAAGGTTCTGGGGGGTTAGTTCTTCTCTTGAACTTTTAAACACTGACCTGTATTGTCTCCAAAAAAATCTGCTGTCTTATTTCAGTTTAGATATTATAAAGAAATGCTATCAAGTGCGGGTGACCGTTACTTGATAATTTAAAAAATTCTTAGAAACCACTAGCTTATTCATCACGGAGTTAAAACATGTAACGTACTGAAGTGCCTCTTGTTCCCAGGTTTAGTTTGCTGAGTGAAGGACCATCTTGGGACTGACGTTCCGTGGGTCAGTAGGAAGTCCTTTCTCTCCCACAGGCAGGGATCATGGCCTCTACTGTCTCTTGCTCTGCCTGTTTCTCTAGAAACATTCTTGGCTCTGTGATGCCATGTGTCAGGGTGCTGCTTAGCAGCAGTTGGTGCAAATATTTCTTAGGTGAGAGTGGCCTGACAGAAGAGGTTTATTGGTTTTGTTTTGTTTAAAGACAAAAGCCTCCGATTACGCTGTGCATTTCCTCTCCCAGGGGAACTAGAAGCAACGCTCTCCTGCCCTTGGTTCCCCCAGTGTGTCCACTGTGCCCTTCGACCCTGTCTGTGGTTCCACTGGGTGTACAACATGCAATGTAGTGGATTAAGGCGCATCTTCAATAGAATGGACAGAGTCATCTGTCATCTGTAGCTACCTACGGCTATAGATGTTTATCCACCTGTTTATCCATCCACCCATCCACCTCTCCCTCTGTCCTTCTACCTGACCTTCAATGCATCCACTGTCTTTTTAAAATAGAGGAGTTCATTTACTGAGTCTTCAGAGGGGGACATGCTTTAAATGGTGTTCAAATAAAAATTTTTTAAAATCACGAAGTTGTGAAATTGTGTAGATTTCCTTTATGTTTGATAACACAGAAGGAGGTTTGTACTTTGTAGTACAGTGACTGAGTTAGGGAATCATGCATATCCTCAGGCAAGCATTGGGTGCATGGCTGTAACCCCCAGTCTCTCTAGAAGAGGCAATGATGTGTGACACAGCTGTCTCCCAGCAGGAGTGGGTGTCCGCTCTGCCATTACTACTAAGGTTCTGAGACTGGGAGGCAGTGTCACACGCACATGTGTTGATGAGCTCTGGGAGCCAGTGGCCCCTTAGGTGCCTGTCCTGAGTGCTCAGTGCCTACAGCATGCTGTGCTGACAGCCGAGCTGCCACTGTCATGTGCTCGGGCAGAGGTCCTCACACGGGCCCTCAGAAGTAGACTGCTAGCTGGGCGCTGGTGGCTCATGCCTGTAATCCTAGCTACTCAGAAGGCTGAGATCTAAAGGATTGTGATTTGAAGCCAGCCCAGGTAGGAAAGTCTGTGAGACTTGTTTTTTCTTTTTTTTTGCCGGTCATGGGTCTTGAACTCAGTTCTGGGTACTGTCCCTGAGCCTCTTTTGAGCTCAAGGCTAGTACTCTACCACGTAAGCCATAGCACCACCTCTGGTTTTTTCTTTTTCTTTTGTCAGTTGTGAGGCTTGAACTCTGGGCCTGGGCGCTGTCCCTCAGCTCTTCAGCTCAAGGCTAGCGCTCTACCACTTGAACCACAGCGCCACTTCCGGCTTTTTTCTTTTTGCTTATGTGGTACTAAGGAATTGAACCCAGGGCCTCATGCGTACAAGGCAAGTGCTCTACCACTGAGCCACCTTCCCAGCCCCGAGTACTAGACTTTTTTGGGGGGGAGGGAAGCTAAAGGACTGCCCAGGCTCTGAATTCAAGCCCAGAACCAGCCTTTCCCTTGCCCCCACTCCCCCCACAAAGAACACAGAAGATAGAGCCAGATTGCTGCTGGAATGTGCATGGCAAATCGGAATTTTTTCATTTACCGATGTTATTGAAAAAGTAACCCTTGTGTTTTGGTTAAAATAACTGGTTTGTGGTGTAAATACTTTAGCTTTCAGGGAAAATGCCCTGAAAGGACAGCAAAGTGTGTTTATTGGGTGTGGCTGGAATGAGTGGCGCGAACCTGAGCTGCTGTGGCTGCATCCAGCACCGTGTTCTGTGTCCTCCCGGGAATGCAGACGGCTTGAGGAAGGACCAGGACTCACAAATGGAAGGCCTGCTTCTGTCTTTTCATCAGTTTGTGTGATTACTGACTTCTGCTTTCAGCAACTTACCACTCCATGCTAGGTGCTTTCCTGACTTGTAAACCTCATTCTAAGATGCAGAGAATATATTTACATTTTCATAAATAAACAGTTCCACCCCAGGTTGTCCCCATGTGTCTTTTGCCTGTTCAAGCAGCTTCCTGAGCTGTGGCTTAGGGACCACTGCGGCCGGGCCTACTTGCACCTGTGCGCTTGGCCATCAGAGTGGGTGGCTGGAAGCACTGGGCCTAGGTCTGCCTCTGTGTTCGCACACTTCCATGTGAAAGTAAGTTGTTTCCTTCAGCCTCAGGAAAAACATAAAATGAAAACAATCTGTATTGTATTTTTTACACACTTATTAGCTCTGTGTATGTGTGTGTGCTGATGCTTGAGTTCAGGGCTTTTAAGCTGTACATCCAGCCGAGCATTTTGGCCAGTTAACTGGAGATTTCATGCCACAGACTTTGAACTGCAGTCCAGTTTTCAGCCTGAGTAGCAAGGATTACATAGGCATGAGCCACAGACAGCCTCCCAGCCATTCTTACTTTTTCAAAAGATAACCCCCTCTTGGATCCAGGCCTTTTTGAGAGACGGTGGACTCTTGAGAGGATCAACAATGAAATGAACTGGACCTGTCTTTCTGGGAACAGAAAGGAGGAGCAAGAGGGGCTGGGAAGGTGGCTCAGTGGTAGAGCGCTTGCCTTGCATGCCTGAGGCCCTGGGTTCGATTCCTCAGTACCACATAAGCAGAAAAAGCTAGAAGTGGCACTGTGGCTCAAGTGGTAGAGCGCTAGCCTTGAGCTGAAGAGCTGAGGGACAGCACCCAGGCCCAGAGTTCAGGCCCCACGACCAGAACCCCCCCTCCCCCCCCCCCCAAAAAAGGAGCAAGAACAGGGCCACACGGTCCCTTCCTCACAGGCCCACTGTGCCACTCACCTTCTCCGTGGTCCTGGTCAGACTTGCTCTCTGCCCTTCCTTGGACCTGCACAGTACCGCAGGCCCCACTCTCCGGCCCTCACTGATGGACGTATCTCAGCAGCCTCCTGCAGGCCTCACTGGCAGCAGCCATCTCCGTCCTTCCCTCTTCCAGTGGTCTTTTAAGCTGCCCCCTCATGTTCACTTGCTGTCTGCCTAGATGGCCACTCCCTCTGTTGACATCAGATTATGTGATTTTTTTTTCCAATTCTAATAGCTTTTTTAAAAAGGCTCAAAGTAGTCCTGAGGTTGCTTAATCATTGTGAAGGACTGACCTGCAGAATAGTATCCAACCAAGATATGAGGCTACCTCACACCTTTGCTGCGGGAGCAGTGGCATTTGGATGTTGCTCACAGCCCAGGGCCTAGGCAGAGCCACTTTCTCTTCCCAGGCTGTTAGGGAAAGCCAGGTGGATGCACTCCCTTTACACAAGGACTCTGCTCTTACGAGTACCTGAATTCACAGTATAGAAGGAGAATAACTTTGGAGTAAACAGTAATTTTAGCTAAGGCAGGGACGCGACCATGCAGTTTCTGCCAGCGGTTAGTTTTGTCAGTAAATGGAGGAGTGGGTAGGAGCGCCGTGGCGGCGCTCCAGCCATGCAGCCCACCAGGCCCAGCCCAGCCCATGACGCATCTTGGAGTGTGCTTCCTCTTTGAGGAAGAAGCTGTGAACCTGAAAGATGGAGATGCTATAAGAGCTACCTAGGTGGCAGAGAAAAGCCACTTGTTTGAACATAACACTGCATGGTTTAGGGAACATGTGTTATGTAAATATGGAGGAAGGCATTCCGGCTGCAGCTTTCTGCAGCCCAGCCAGAGGCCGCTGGAGAGGGAGTGAGGGACAAGGGGCCTGCCAGCCCGTGAACAGTGGCTGTCAGCTCTCCAGCTTGATGCGCTCCGCTGGGTGGGAAGTGTGGACCTTGCAGCTCACCCCTTCCTCTTAGAGGCTCCTGCTGATGGGTGCACCCTGGAACCACAGGCTGTCTGCCTTGAAACATGCTGAATGAGGTGGGCACTGGCTCCAGGCCCAGGCGGTGCCCTTCTGTGAGGCACCAGCTTACGTATCTGGGAATGTCTGTGTTGTCCAGGCATTTCAGAGTTTCCAATGAGAGGAGGGATGTTAGTGGGTTTTTTATTTCAGTGATATACTATTCCCTTTGGAATTGTTTTTAGCAAAATTTTCTTACAAAGTTAACTTTTGTATTGGAGTTTTAGGGAAATGTTATTATGATTTCAAAAGTTATAAATACAGACAATTTTCAAGAAAACTGGTCCAATATGGATGGGGTGGAAGTAATGAAATACTTCATTCTTTAAAAGAAGAAAATTTTTTTCAGAAGTAACTTCCCAAAAACAATCAAAACAATTCTTGTCCTTTCTCCAACAAGTAGGGTTTCAAAAGTCTCCTGAATTATGTTGAAGTCAATCCCATGACATGTTGTGTTTTATTTAACAACATGAAATAAATTTACCTTCATGTCATTAAATACAAATGTTTAAATCATACACATGAGGCAGATTAGAGAAGCCCATTTCTCCCTGGAGCACTAAGCAAGCAGCTAACTCTATTAATAAATAATAAGCCATTTTCTTAAGAAACCCTGGTAGTGTTTATTTTTCCTTTAAGCCAAGCTGTGAGGGTCTGGGGTGACACACCTTAACAGAGCTGTCAGACCCTTCTCTGGTGCTTTGGCTGCCGTGACATCGTCTGTGGACACCATGAGGGAGCTCTACAGCAAACACAGCTGCGTGGAACTGAATCATCACTCGGTTCCTAAAAGCACATTCCCAGCTATGACTGTGCTGCTCTTTGCCATCAGAAGCTGTGCTGTACTCAGTGAACCTGGATCCATTTCCACCAAAGCCAGAGAGGGGACTACTTCCCCCAGTGGCCCAGCAAGAGGCATGTGACTGGTGTAAACATAGTCCTGCCTTTGCATGCCTGCCCTTTTTCTGGTAAGCTAGCCAGAAGACACCATCTGTGCTGCCTGTGGTGTTGAACATCCAGCTTATTAAAAGGTTTCTCTTTATTTTCTTCCCTAGTTTTGATCATTGTTAGTACAGTGAGCTAATCTGGTAATATGAAAGGAGAGGGGACAACAACAGTAATAGTGAGAGGCAGTGTTAAGAGTTTCAGAAGACGGCCAGGACAAACATGAGAAGACAGAAGCAACAGAAACAATGAGGAACAGTGGAAGTGGAGAGAAGAGAGTCGAGGCTGAAGAAAGAGAGAAGGCTGTAACAGAACCAGAGAATAGATAGCTGGCTCTGGTTGCTGGAAGAGTAGCTGGGCCCCAAGCACCAAGGCCAAATGTAACATGAGCTGCCACTGTCAAGGGCTGAGTATTTATAGACATTTCAGATCGTGTAGCTGTAATATTTGCCACTGCAGCACTGATTCCAGCACCCAAGGCACATATATGAGAGCTATATAACACTAAAAAGCAATGCAGACTGCTGACTGCTGCTTGCTACCCTCTGCTGCCACAACCTGAGAATTACAAAAAGCAACTAGAAGAGCACCCTCCTTGCCTACTCACGACTTCTATCTAGGTAGTGTAAGGCCCCAGCCAGCCGATAGATAACACGTGCAGCAAACAGCACTCCAAATACATGAATAGCAAAATGCTGACAGAATTGGAGAGAGAAATGAATGGTTTTACAGTGAGGGGAGAGAGCTGTGTCATGGAGACAAATGTCAGGAACCGGAACGCACCACACTGTGGGTGTGTGGCACATGTGTGCAGGGAACAGTCTCCTGACAGT